ACACGGTAGCAGCTGCTGTCCGGGCAGCACCTGTTGGGAGGGGCCCAGCTCTACCCCAGGGCGCCCCCGGCCCGTGGGGGCTGGGGGCGCGCCCAGGCGGAGCAGCTCCGCGGGCGGGGCGGCGGGGGGCGAGGGGCGGCCGAGGGGCGCAGGGGCAGACCCCGCGGAAGGCCTGGCGGAAGTGGGAGCCCAGGAAGGCGTAGAGCAGCGGGTTCAGCGCCCAGTTGCTGTAGGACATGCAGTGGGCCCAGATCTTGAGCGCCTAAGCCGCGTAGGTGCGCGGGTGCCAGGCGCCCTCGGGGCGCAGCGCCTGCAGCACCAGGAACAGCTGGATCGGGCCCCAGCAGGCGCGAAGAGCAGGACCACGGTGGCCACCAGCCGCGAGACCCGACCCGAGCGCTCACGGCGCCCGCCCGCTGTGCCAGCAGCTGCCCCTGGGGCGGAGGGAGGAGGGAGGAGCGCGGAGGGAGGAGGAAGGAGGCAAGGTGGAGGCGCGCTGCGGCGCTCCCCTGCACCTCGTCTCCTCTCCTCTCCTTTCTTTTCACTTAGTATGATTTTTTATTTATTTTATTCTTTATTTTTTAATGTAAATTTGTTTTTTTTTTTTTTTTATTGGTTCACTTATTAGGATTTTTTAAAGCGAGCTCCGGGCCCCCCGTGCGGGGCTTGAACTCACCACCCGGGGATCAGGCGCTAGCGCGGCGCCCCCCTCCCCCACTGCCTCCCCTCGGACCCGCGCGGCCTCCCACGTTGCCCGCCCCCCCACCCCCACCCCCGTCCTCCGCATGCCCCTCCCCCGCCCGCGCAGCCGCACACCTGCAAGGCGCCGTCGGTGGCCGCGGGGCGCGCGGCGGTGCGGCCCAGGTGGCGCAGCATGGCCCCGTAGCAGGCACAGGTGGCGGCCAGCCGCAGCAGGTAGAGCGCCAACAGGTTGTAGAGCGCGAAGGCGCGCTCCAGGGCCCGGCTGGGGAAGGCCTCACTGCAGTAGGTGCGGGGCCCCGGCGAGAGGCGGTGCAGGGCCAGCACCGGCGCCGACACCGTCGCGGAGCCTGGGTCACCGGGCAGCTTGAACACCTTGCCGGGGGGACGAGGGGCGCCCAGGGGGTCCCCCCATGGCTCCCCAGGGCCTTTCCCCGCAGCGACACCGAGCGCCTCCCAGGCCCGCGCCCCCAGGGGCTCACCTTTGCAGGGAGCGCGGTTGAGCCCACTCCCCAGATGCACGCGCGCCCCAGGCCCGCAGAGGGGCCGTTGGGGCGCGCCCAGCAGCAACACCTTGTCTTGCCACCCCCGTGCGCCCGCGCGCTGCACTCACCCACCCAGATGCCGAGGCTGACCACCAGAGCCAGGCGGGGCGTGCGGGGGTGCAGGGCGCGCAGCGGGAACACGGTCACGTACCAGCGGTCCACGCTCATGGCCGTCAGGGTGGCGCACGTGGCCTGCACGGAGACCTGCGAGCACCGAGAGCGCGATTCGCCCCGTGTGGGGTCGCGGCCCCCTGCCTGCACCCACCCTGCGGCTCCCCCCTCGTGTCCACTCAGGTGCACCCGGGCCATCCTGGCAAGTTTGCTGGGGCAGGAGAGGGCGGGGCGCCGGACAGGACCCAGGACAGTGGAGGCTTGAGGTCCGCTGGGGCCTGGGGTGAGGCGGGGAGACGCAGAGCCATGCTAGGACCGCGGGCACTCACGCCCGTCACCCGCATCCCGGTCTGCATCTCCCCACCTGCCGGGCCTCGTCCCTCTCACCTGCTCGGGCTCCCCGCCCGCCCCGGCCCGCCCCTGGACTCCGGGGGGGCGCCCCAGCCGCACACCTGCTGCATGTAGTTGACGAACTTGCACATGAAGTCACCCAGCACCCAGGCGGGCAGCGGATAGAGCAAGGCCGTGAAGGGCACGCAGCACAGCAGGAAGGTCACGTCCGTGGCCGCCAAGTTGGCTGCAGGCAGGGCACGAGCGGGGCACCTCAGCCGCCCAGGGCTCCCCACACAGCCCCGGGCCCTGCCCCCTGGTCCTCCCTCCCCTGCAGTGACCTAGGGCAGAGGATTTGGGGCACCGTCCAGGGTCAGTCCACCCTGCTGAGCCTGCCTAAGCGGCCCCACCCGGCTGAGGTTCAGCACCTGCCCCCCACCCTTCACCCCCTCGGAGACAGTGAGGGTGGCCCACGCGTCACCACAGAGCACAGGACACCGACACTCACCTGTGCCAGGTGGCCCAGCCCTTCCTCGAATGTGTGGACCGAGCCACGGGGCAAAGGTTGCACCTGGGGTCCTGCAGCCCCGCCCCCTACTTTTGTTCAGTGCACACGGTGTTATAAGAACCGCGTTCTAATCCGACACCGTCTCAAGCGGCAGGGCCATGCTCCAACCCCCCAAACCCGCCTTAACTGCCCGGCCCCGGACCCTTGGGTGCACAGTTCTGGGGCTCCCGCCCAAGATAACGGGTCGGCGGTCAGCGGTGCAGGGCCGGTGGGCGGGCGCCGGCCTCTCCCTCCCGGGGACCCCCGCGTGGCAGGCGGGCTCCGCGCAGCGCTCTGGCGCTCACCTATGTAAAAGTTGGTCACCGTCCGCATCTGCTTGTGGCGGCAGATGACAAAAAGGACCAGAGAGTTCCCTGCCAGGCCGTGCAGCATCAGCGCGGCGAAGAAGAGGGGCACGAGCCAGGCGTCCAGCAGCCGCAGCTCCGGGGCCCGGTCGTCCGAGGCGTTGGCGCCGCAGCCTGGGCAGCCCGTGGCGTTGGCCAGCGCCCACCAGGACGCGTTGGGGGCCTCCGTGGCCGCCGCGACGCGCATGGCTTCGCTGCCCTCTCCCTCCTGGCCGCGCCCTGGGTCTGGAGGGCGACTCCGCAGGGCTGGGCAGCTTCTGTGATTCGTCGCAGCCCCCCCAGAGTTTATACCGGGCTCCCCGCGGTGTCCCCGCCTCTCCAGCCCTGCTGGACACGCCCTCTCCTTTCCGTGCCGTCCACTCCTCTGCACAGCAAACGTCTCCCCCTTTCCGTCCTCTCCTTGCACAGGAGGGGACAGGCTGGGGGAGGGGCTGGGGGGCCGCAGGAGAGGGGGAGAGGGGTAAGCCGCCTGGAGGCCTCCGTGGGTCCTGGAAGGACCATCCTAACTGTACGGGGACACTCAGGACGGGCAGGCAGCCCGGACCAAAGCACAGAGACAAGAGTGGTGACGACTTTGACCTTGCAAGTGGCTGGGGGTCGCAGATGGGAGGGCCGTGGCTGGTGGTGAGGCCGGCCCCGGTGGAGGCTGCAGGACGGGCGCTGCAGAGCCAGGGGGGCTCCGAGCCGGGCAGGGCTGCCCAGGATCCTATGGTTAGAAGACGCCTGGTCTCGAAACTTAGCCTCACCAGGACTCACTGCCTCCCACCTAACCAGCACCGGCAGACACTTGCCCTGGGGACGTGGGCAGTGGTGACATGGGCCCTGGTGGCCCTGGGGGTAGGAACCCGGCGGAGGGCAGTTTGCAAGGACCGTAGACCCCAAGCCCGCACCCAGACACGTAGCACCTGCGGTACGTGCCCGCTTGCCAGGACGTCCGGCCCTCACCAAGTACCGCCCAGGCAGAGAGATGCCACCAGTGACGAAAACGCACCTAAGAGGTGGGGAAGGGAGGAGCAGGGAGACACACAGGGGCACCACGGAAGCACATAAGTCAGGGGTGGGCGGCGTAAGAGCCTGGCCTGAGAATAAGGGACGGTTAGGATGGGGAGACGCAAGGCTGCCCGGAGGCAGGAATTCTGGGGGAGACTGTTGGGTGGGTCTAAGGCAGTGGGGGGGCACTCAGCAGGTGGCTGGAGCCTCGAGGCAGGGCTGTGGGGAGCAGAGGCTGCGCAGCTCCTGGGCAGGCGGCGGCCGGGGCAGGGGGTGCTGGGAAGGGCACAGGCGCCCGGGAGGGAGGCTCCAGAAGCTGCGGCCGCCCCCCATCCCCAGAGGGAGCACATCTACTGAGTAGTTGGTGGCCGGGGGCCAGAGCAGGGACAGACGCTGCCGGCCCCCAGCGCCCCTGCCCTGCTCGCTCCCCAGGGTGCCTTCTCCCTGGATTCCCATCAACTCCGATTTCTTTGACCTTGCCCCAGGAGTGACGTCACACAGCAGGTGCTTTTCGGGGTCCTTCAGTGGTTCCTCCTCCTCATGCTCCTTACTTGTTTCTCTTTATTTGCGAAAGTGATGGGGTCACGGGTCCTGCACGATTTCCAACAGGCCGCCTGTGGCAGCTCTTATCCCTGGGGTGTTGCTTCGCAGGGTCCCGGTTCCCCACCTTTCATGTAGGTGGAAGGGTGGGTTCTAGATTCCGCAGCAGAGTTAATTCTCTTCTCTAAGCCCTCCCATAGCTCCCCATTGCCTCTGAACAAAAACCAGACCTCCTGTCACAGGGGCACCAGGCTCACGGGTGCACGCCCCGCCGTCTACCTCGGCCCCCTGGGGCTCACTCACCCCCTGCTCTGGTCACTCTGGGTGCCTCAGGGCCTTTGCACTGGCTGTTGTCGTTGCCTGACACGCCCCTCCCACTCTGCGGCTTGCCAGTCCCTCCCTCCGAGAGCTCCTCTTCCCTCCCCACTCTGTCTTGGTCACTGCTGCACCCTCAGAGCCCATCACTGGGCCCCGGTCACCCCGGGGTGGGGGGGCAGCACTTGTTACGGGTCCTTGAGGGTGAAAGGGGGTGGGAACTGGTGGCTTATGTTTAGAGATGAGTAAACTGAGCCACGCCGTCCAGGCTCGGGGAGGGGCTGGTGGTGCGGGGCTGGGGCTCCAGTCGTGCCAGCTGACCCTCGCCTCCGACACAGATGTCCCCTCCTTGCTGGCTACCTGGCCCGGCCTCAGGGGCAGGCATCACGCACCTCCGGCCTCAGTTTCCCCGCCTGTTCCTGGGGGCTGAGTGTCCCCCATACCCCGCCGGTGGCCGGCGATCTGCAGGCACCGTGGCCTGAGCCCCCGCCCGCCCGCCACGTCCAGCCCGCAGGCTCCGCCCCGGCCCGCCCCTGGGCGCCCGTCACTTCCTGCACGGCCGCGAGAAGGCCCTGCCGGGCGGCGGCGACAACAGCAGCCGGGCCATGGTCGCGCTGGAGAACCCGGAGGGCGGCTCGGAGGAGGCAGCGGCGGCGGTGGGAAGCCCCCCGGGCGGGCGGCGGACGCTGTGAGCGCGGCGGGGCGGGCGGGCCGTGCCTCCTGGGCCTCCAGCACCCCTGCGCTCCCCTCTCCCCTGCTGTCTGCCTGCAGCCCGGGCCGCCCCGCCCCTTTTCCTTGGGGGACCCAGGCCGGAGGGCTGGGGGTGGGGGTTGGTTGCCACCCGGTGTTTGGGCAGAGGGAGCACAGCCCGCTTGCCCGCTCGCAGGCCCGAGGGGCCAGAGGGCCCCCCACCCTGGGCCGGGTGTGCACTCGCTGGGGGCGGGGGGCAGGTTGGATCCCCTGGCCCGGGCCGCCTGCTGGGGTCCGAGGTGCGGCTGCCGGGTGGCCCCGGAAACCCTCCCGGCGCCCTGGGCATGCCCCCCACGCCGGCCTGCGCTTACCTGTGGGGATTCTCAGCCCCCCACCCCGGAGCGCACGGGGCTCTTTGTTCATATGCGAGGACTTAACAGATTAGGTGTGCGTGGGGGGGGTGCTTAAAACGTGGGTGGGCAGGAGCGCAAGCGGGGGAGCCACCCACTCTGGGTACAAACCCCAGTGGGCCCGGGGCAGGTTCCCGGCTAATCAGGGTGTCCGGGCAGGAACCTGGGCCATCCGTCCTGTGGTCCTGGTTTGGGGAGTGGGCAGGGGGGAAGGACAGGGCTGCGTCCTCCGTGGGCTGGCCCGGCTGCCGGGGCTGTTGACGCCACCTTCCGTGCCTCAGTTTCCTCCTCTGTAAAATGAGATAGAACAGCGGCCTCTCCTCAGAATGGCTGGGATGCGGGGGGAGCTCTAGGGTCCTGCACCCGGCAGAACGGAGCATCCATTCTTTTTTTTTTTTTTTTTTTTTTAAGATGTTATGTATTTGAGAGAGGAAGAGTGTGCGGGGCGGGGGGGAGCGGAGGGGGAGACAGAGAGGCAGACGCCCCGCTGAGCTGAGCAGGGAGCCCTGCGTGGGGCTGGTCCCAGGGCCCTGACCCGAGCCAAAGTCAGAGGCTTAACCAGCTGAGCCACCCAGGTGCCCTGGCAGCATCCGCTTCCTTAAGGATCGACTGAAACATTTCAGTACTTTGTTGCATTATTGCTTCCTTATTCCTGCAGCCTTACTGGAGGTCTCCACCTGGGTGTCTCCCCAGAAGCCATGTGGGTCTCTACCCATGTGGGTATTTACCTTCCTCTGAGGGGCCTCCCCCATCCAGAGAGAGTGTCAGCCTCCGGTGGGTCCCCGCCGGAGCTCCCTCACCTCACCTCTGTGTGTCCCCCAGGGGTGTGGTCACTGCTGGGGGCCCCAGTTGGCCCCACCCCAGCCTGAGTCACCTCTGGGCGCTGAGCCCTCCCTCCTCGGTTTCCTGCTTCGGGAAATAGGTTCCTCTCTCGCCTCTTCCTGGGGTGTGGGGGGGAGCGGCACCACAGAAGGTACGTGTTAGGCCAAGACAGCAGGTGATAGAAGGCCTCGCTCCGCAGCCTGCAGGGAACAGAACTGGGGGAGGCAAGGGGGCCTGTTCCCCCCAGACCCACCCCGATGGAGCCTCTGTTTCCGCCTTGGGCCTGTCCTCCCTCACTGGACACAGCAGACATTTCCTGAGCCCCGTGGGTCCCCAGTTCCCCCATCTCTAAAGTGGTCTCTCCCGGTGGCATGGGAAACAGATGGACCGGCCACTCGGGCAGGGGCTGGGGGCACAGCCGTTTGTGAGTGTCTAGTGTGGGAGGCAGGGGCTAAGGAGTAAACAGACGTGGACCGACCGGCTGATTAGGTTGGGCAGGAGCAGGGCGGTGCCATTTAGCAGCCCCAGAGGTGCTGAGAAGGTGTACTGGAGGCAGCAGGCTCAGCATGTGCAAAGGCCCTGGGGCAGACTGTTCCTACGGGGGGTGAGGCACAGTGAGGGGGCCCCTGTGTCTGCAGCAGAGAACCCTCAACCGTCATTGCACATCTCATCTCCTGGGACCGAGGGCTGCTGCCTCTGCCCTACCCACTCCCACGTCCTCGCTCTCTTGATTGAGGATCCAGGACCCGCACGAGGCCCCAGAGGCCGCATTTCTTGTCTTCTGATGGAATCTGGTTCAAGTGGGCAAGCCTGAGCTGGTGGCGGGACCCCGATTCCAGGGCTCGGCTCAGGGCATGAGGCCCCCGCGTGGGTGCCTGGCCCAGACCCCTGTGTTCACATGATGGGGGCAGGGCTGGGCTGGCCCTGGGGGGCGTGGGAGCCGCACGTGGTGGCAGAGCAGGGGAGGGCCCGGCTGGTCTTAGCTGGGGGGCGGCCTGAGGGGCCCCCACAGGACTCCGTGGGCTCAGGGGGGCTGGAGGGCAGTGCACCTGCTCAGATGGGCCGGGTCCTGGCCCTGCCACAGGCCTGAGGCTGTGCGGAGCCGCCAGCGTCACAGCCCCACGACCCGAGGGCTCTGCCGGGCCCTGACAGCACCCGATAGCCACCCCGGATGCGGACTGTTATCAGCCCGGCCAGGCTGCCGTCCTGGACTCCGTCCAGCCCTCGGTGGGGGTGCCCGGGCCTCAGGGAGGCAGCCCTCACTCGCCGGCTCTGTGCTGACTTGATTTGCCTCGTCCTGACGCAGCTGCCTTCGTGGAGACCGTGGGGTCTCGGCTTAGTGGCTCCGTGACTCTGTGGCAAGTCTGTGCAAGAGACAGTGAACTTTCAATCCAGGGACGAGGCTGGGAGCAATAGGGGGTGAGCTCCCCACCTCAGGAGGACACCAAGCCGGTTGTGCCTGGGTCCGTGGGGGAGGGTGCCCGACCTGCCCCCTGGCTCTCAGGGCCCCTTCCAGACCCACGGGCCCCTACAGAGGCCGTTCTTAATCCTCACGGTGCAGAGGGAGCTGAAGCTCCAGGCTGCACAGCAAAGCGTCCTCGCAGGGATTTGAACTCAGGGCTGAGATTCCAGGCTCTGAGCCGACCGGTGCCCCTGCCTGTGTGCTCCTGGCGATGATGCCACGGGGCCCGCACCCCCCACCCCCGGCCTGGCGGCGTGGGTCCCAGCCGCCTGTTTGCTTGTTCGGCATGAGGCCTTTCCCTCCAGGACACACACGCAGCCGTGGATGCTCCACGCGTGTTCCAAGCCCCTCGTCCCCACTGCCCTGGAGTTCCATGGTTTGGAAGGGACAGGCCACGCTTCTGTGTTTAGTTTGTGTCCTGCGAGCTTCGGGGACCAGGAGAGTCTGGCGGGTATTTGGACTCTGGGTTCTACTCAGTCTTGGGACCGTGGGATGCCGCGGAGAGGGATCCTGCGCGGCGGCAGGGCCGTGAGCGTCCGCGTGGGGCTCACGGTGCGGTGGGCGGGGTGGGCGCTTACCAGGGACGCTGAACGTCCGGTGATCAGAGAAGCAGAGCCGTGAGGTGTCACCTGGGGGCTGTGGCCTCCTGAAAGCCCTGGACAGAGCCGATGGGAGCCTGGGGCGCCACTGGGTGGGTGCAGCATGCTGGGGCAGGGGTGGCGGGGCAGGCCACCTGCCGGGGCGGCCACGTAGCCCCCCCCCCCCCCCCCCCCCGCCGCGCCGGGCCCGGTGGGTGGCCTGGCCAAGCCGCTAATCCATCTCCACAATTAAGGCCGTTTGCTCGGAGGAGGGCAGATTAGCTCCACGCGGCCGCCCAGCCCTGCCACTGGGCCCACTGCCGGGGTTCCGGGGACTTGAGGCGCACGGGCGTGGGCACTGCCTTTGGACTCCTGGGGGCCTGCGAGGTGTCTTGAGAAACTCCCAGAGGAGGGCGCGCCCAAGTCCCGGAGCTCGGCCGGCAGGGGCAGTTAAGGCCTGGGAGCCTGGTTGGGGGAAGGAGGGGAGCTCCCCGTGGCCACCCACCCACTACGTGCGTCCGGGCCAGTGGTTCTCTTCTCCGGACCCCAGGTTACAAATCTGTCATCACAACGGTCTGGGCCTCGAGGGTGATGTGACCCCAAAGCGAAATGTTAAGGGTCTAGAGAGCGCCCCGTTGGCGAGGGAAAGCGAGCCGGTGATGGCCACGGCCCGGGGCGATGGCGGGGTTCTGAGGCCTGCCTCCCTACCCAACCCCGGCCCACAGGCCCCTTCCGGGCTGCCTGCCCGCTCTAGCTGGCTCCCAGGTGAAGAGGCTGTCAGCCTCCAAGCGGAAGCAGCACTTCATCAACCAGGCTGTGCGGAACTCAGACCTCGTGCCCAAGGCCAAGGGGCGGAAGAGCCTCCAGCGCCTAGAGAACAGTGAGCAGGGCTTGGGGGCACCTCCTGGGGGTTCCTCGGTGAGGACGCTGTGTGTGTTGGCATCAGCTGCTGCTTTGTCCGCGCGTCTGGCCCTGAGCTGGGCCACGCTGCCGCTGGGCCGTAAGGAGCTCTGGGCATTGGAGCTTGGGTTTTCAAAGACGCGGAGGAGTTCGACAAGCCGGGGAGAAGTAGGCGCTCCGGAGGTGCAGGCTCCGTGTGTCTGTGCCTTCTGGGGAGGACGGCAGGAGCGGGGACGTGGGGAGACTGGAGGGCCCTGATACAGAGGCCAGGGTGGAAAGATGGCTCTCGGCTTTCTGTGGAGACTGGGGGACCCCTGTGCCAGCCCCCCAGCCCAGAGACCCTCTGTTTCCATCTAGCCCAGTACCTCCTAACCTGCTGGAGACAGACGGGGGCACAGCTGGCCTGGACGATGGGGACCTGGCCCCCCCGGCAGCACCCGGCATCTTCGCAGAGGCCTGCAGCAATGAGACCTACGTGGAGGTGGGGCCCGGGCGCCCCTCCTGTCTCCCTCTGCTCCAGCCCCCTGGCGCCTCCCCCATCCTTGCTCCACCGCCACACCTGGCCCTGCCGATCCTCCCCCTCTGGTCCCTTGACCAGCCTGTTTCCCCCGGGGGTCCCCAGCCCAAGCCAGCGCTCCCACGGCACCCCCGGGACTTCCCAGCACTCCTGGGGCATCTGCCCATCACTGGGAATGAAGGAGTCCCAGGGGGCGGATTTGGCCGGTGTCCATCCCCCGTCCAGACAGCAGGTCCCCCCAGGGGCAGCCGCGCCCACCAGGGGTGTGTCCATGCGCTGTGGCCGTCTGCACGCCGCCGAGTGGGGAACCCGAGGCTGGGGACGCGCCGTCCTTAGCCCAGGTCCTGCCCGCCTCTCTTCTAGGTCTGGAATGACTTCATGAACCGCTCCGGGGAGGAGCAGGAAAGGGTTCTCCGCTACCTGGAGGATGAGGGCAAGAGCAAGGCGCGGAGGAGGGGGCCTGGCCGCGGGGAGGACCGCAGGAGAGGTGCGGGCCTTCACAGGAGTTTGGGGGGGCCCCCAGGGCTGGATAGCGGGGCCTGGCTGAGGGGAGGAGCCTGGAATGTGGGCGGGGCCTGGGGCCAGTGGGGGAGGAGCCTGCTGTGGGCGGGGCCTGGGGCCAGTGGGGAGGAGCCTGGTGTGGGGGGAGCCCATGGGTGGGTGGGGAGGAGCCTGGTGTGGGGGGTCTTGAGCACTGGTGGGAGAAAGCCTGGTGTGTGGTCGGTGCCCTGGGGCTGGTTGGAGGAGCCTGGTGCGTGGGCGGAGCCTGGCTGTGGGCGGAGCCTGGGGCAGTGGGGGAGGGAGCCTGCTGTGGGCGGGGCCTGGGGGGCCAGTGGGGGGAGGGGCCTGGCTATGGGCGGGGCCGTGGGGCGGCCAGGTGGAGGAGCCTGGTGTGTGGGCGGGGCCTGGGGGCCAGTGGGGGAGGGGCCTGCTGTGGGGCGGGGCCTGGGGCCAGTGGGGGAGGAGCCTGGTGTGGGCGGGGCCTGGGGCCAGTGGGGGAGGAGCCTGGTGTGGGCGGGGCCTGGGGCCAGGGGGAGGAGCCTGGTGTGGGGGGAGCCCATGGGTGGGTGGGGAGGAGCCTGGTGTGGGGGGTCTTGAGGGCAGGTGGGAGAAAGCCTGGTGTGTGGTCGGTGCCCTGGGGCCGGTTGGAGGAGCCTGGTGCGTGGGCGGAGCCTGGCTGTGGGCGGGGCCTGGGGCCAGTGGGGGAGGAGCCTGCTGTGGGCGGGGCCTGGCCGGTGGGAGGGGCCTGTGTGGGCGGGCCAGAGGCTCGCTGCAGCCAATGCCCCACGCAAGGAAATCCCGTAGAGGATCCAGCCTACACGCCCCGCGACTGCTTCCAGCGCATCAGCCGGCGTCTGAGAGCCGTCCTCAAGCGGAGCCGCATCCCCATGGTGAATACCCGTCCAGGCCTCTTTCTCCACCGGCTCGGTGTTTTTCGTGGCTTTATTTTCTCACCTTCTCAGTTGAAGGTGGTGTAATGGGTGATACGTCACGCAGTGCAGGTGGTGTTGGTGGAGACAAGGCAGGATACAGACCCGTGTGATCAGAGTGCAGGAACCAGGCCCGGAAAGGGCTAAGCATGAGGGCGGGAGGGGCAGGGATGATGCAGGTGGGTTCCTGGAGGATGTGTAGGAGTTCACCAGGGCGAAGGCACAGGAGTTGGGTAGCATGGAGCTATCCCAGTCCTGGTATCTTTGGGAAGGGTTACGTAGCCTCAGGGAGCAGGTCAAAGGCCACATTTGAACCTAGGGCTGCAGAGGCTGCAGAGGCTGCCCAGGGCAGGGGGCCTGGACAGCTCGTCCGCAGTGTGACCTCCGGCCTCACCCCTGGGCCCTTTTCTCCTGCAGGCAACGCTGGAGACCTGGGAGGAGCGGTTGCTGAGGTTCTTTTCTGTGTCCCCCCAGGCCGTGTACACGGCCATGCTGGACAACAGGTGACTGGGGGGAGTGAGCGCGGTAGGCTCCGCCGGGGGTCTGGCTCCGGCCCACCGCCACCTACTGTCCATTCCTCTCCAGCTTTGAGCGGCTCCTGCTTCACGCCGTCTGCCAGTACATGGACCTCATCTCAGCCAGTAAGTGCCGCTGGTCTGCAGGAGCCCCTCCCCCGCCCGCAGCCTGGGGAAACCGAGGCCAGAGTCATGGGGGGGGCATGAGCATGGGGCAGGCAGTGGGACTGAGCACTAATTCATCAGAGGCTCCTCGTGTGCCTGGCTCCGTGCTGGGTGATGCTGTGGGCACAGGTGCTCCTCGCTGAGCATCTTCACGGCACAGGGAGAGAGGGGCCTGTGTGGCACATCCGGGGACCCCCAGAGGAGACACAAGGTTCTATTTAGCCGTAGCCCCCTCCACTGTGCCACACGTGTGACATGTCCCTCCTCCTGGGGCCTGTGTCCCCACTTTTACAACGGAGGTGTCAGGACACAGTCCCCCAGGGAGGGCCCTCCGGGTACCCCATTGGGTCCTCGCTCCTCATCTACGCCTCATGCCTGGAGTTGCTGGGGAGACGGTTCCCATGGCAACCCCAGGGGGGTCCTCCTACCTGCTCCCCTGGTGGATTCGCAGCCCCCATACTTCTCTTCGTTCCCGCAGACTCGGGACAGAGGGGCTGCGCTGGGGGTGCCTCTCTGCGGGGGCCGACTGATCTGAACACAGGGAGGGTGGGATTGGGGGGGACCGAATGGCCCCGCCAAAGGCCAGAAGCGGGTGGAGCTTGGGTGGCACTTGGCTGGTTCAGGTGTGGGGGTGGGGGGGATCGGGGGCTGGGCCACCCTGAGCCTTGAAGCCGAAGCCTGGGCCGGGCACCGCGCCGAGGCCCGCAGCGTGTTCCCTGCTGCTCTCCTCGCCCTCGCAGGCGCCGACCTGGAAGGCAAGAGGCAGATGAGGGTCAGCAACCGGCACCTGGACTTCCTGCCGCCCGGGCTGCTCCTGTCCGCGTACCTGGAGCAGCGGAGCTGATGGCGGCCCCCGCGGCCTCCGCGGCGCCGACACCTCGATGCCATTTGCTGCAGTGTCTTTATTATTTTGAGAATTCGTCCCTGTAGACTCGCTGCCCGCGGGCGGCGCCCTTCGCCTGGCCCTGCCCGTCGCCTCTCCAGGTAACCGCCCGCGGGGCCTGGGGCTGCCCGGGCCTCGAGCGAGCGGCGAGAGCGGCCCGGCCCCGTCCCCGTCCTTCGTTCTGCTTTCCCGGCGCGGCCCAGCGCCTGAGCAAGGAGTGAGAGGCTGGGTTTTTATCACTTTTAATGAATTTGGCATGATTTGTTGTAGATTTTTAAAATTTCCCTTTTGGGAAGAAAAACCAAAAACTTGCCCCAGCTGATACATTGGGGGACTTTGTTCCCTTCCCTGCTTGACCCCCCCCTCCCAGTTTTTGGGTTGGATGGGGGGGTGTCTCTGGGGCTCTGCCCCTTTTTCCAGGAGTGGTACGTCGTGTGTGCGTGTGCGTGCGTGTGCGTGCGTGTGCCCCACAACCTAGAACAGAAGCTCCGCGTTAGAGGCTGGTCTTCCCCGCCCCGGGGTGTGCGCTGCTCTCGCCTGGTGGCTCCTGGGGCTTCGTCTGCTCTGCACACCTCCTCCCTGCATCCTGGAGGTCGGGACTTCCAGCCAGAAGCCTCTGCCCTCGGACTGCCCCACTCCCCTCCCTCTGCCCCCCCGGCCCGGCCCCTGCCTGTTACCTTGGGGTGTCCTCGCACCGGTCACCCCGGCGTGTCCCTCCAAATCAGGGCCGGGGGACAGCCCTCCCGTGTGTGTGGCTAGTTGTGCTTTGGGAAAAGTGGAGAGTTCAATAAATTTCTGGTGCTCTGGTCTCCAGCTGTGGGGTCTTCCTTTGGGGCAGTGCTGGGGGCACCGCGGTGCTCAGGACGAGCTTGGGTCCTGGTCATCGGGGCTGCATGAGGGACACCCCACGTGCGAGGCCGGTGTGGGGGGACATGCTGCGGCGGCCGTCCCCTCCCAGGTCCCGGGTGCAAGCCCTGGCCCCGCCACCTCCCAGATGACCACTATCCCAAAAGTCACTGGCATGAGCTTCCTGGGGTGCCAGCACCTAGTACCCTCCTGTGGCTCCAAACCACAGGAATTTGTCGTCTGCCAGCCCCGGGAGCCACAAGTCCAAAGTCAACCTGCGGCGCAACCGTGAAGCTCCCGGGAGGCTCCTTCTTCCTCTTCAGCCTCTGGGGGTCCCGGGGGGTTCCTGGGGGTCCCTGGCCTGTGGCCGCATCATTCCCGGCCGGGTCCCTGCCTTCACGGGGCTTCCTGCGGTCCTTCCCGGTCTTTCCTGTGTCTGGGGCCGGCCGGGTCCTGCGGGACGTCCGGCTGGGCTCGTCCCATGACGGCTCCCATGCTGTCCCCGTGGAGGGTCCCGGAGCGCAGCCCAAAGGGGGACGGGAGCTGTGAGCCCCCCAGGGCAGATCTGTGTCAACTACGGGGGCCCTTCTCCCTCCGGTGTGTGCTCCAGCCCCTGCACCCCCTGGGACTCGAGGATTTGCTTCCTAGTCTGCGTCACCAGCCTGTGGAGAGCTTGGGGTTTGGGGGGTCTCCGAGCGCCGGGCACCAGGGGAGCTGGTGCGGCTTGTCCAGGGGTCAGGGCCGTGCCCCCTAGGCCCCGCCTGCGCCCACCTGCGGCCCGGCCTGCACCCACCTGGGGGACCCTTTGCACCCACCTGGCAGCTGCCTGCACCCACCTGGCGGCCCAGCCTAGCCCACCTGGAGGACCCCCTGCGCCCGCCTGGTGGTCCTGCCTGAGCCCACCTGGGGACCCACCTGGCGGTCCTGCCTGAGCCCACTTGGCCGCCCGCCTGAGCCCACCTGGAGGACCCCCTGCGCCCACCTGGCGGCCAGCTGACACCGGAGGGAGCTCAGAGACACGCTGGAGCGTGCACGGCCACGTGATGCCCTGGAGGACGTGGGGGGGGGGCACGCGGGTTCCCTAAGGGTGGGGCGTTGCCACTCCCGGGCGGACCCCGCGTGGCCGGGGGCACCGTGGGGCCGCGGGCGCTGCTCGGTGGGTCAGGCCTCCACCTGTGGAGCCTCCATTTCCCCACACGCGGATGTCAGGGGAGAAAGGCAAAATATGGAACGCTTCACGAATTTGCGTGTCATCCTTGCGCAGGGGCCATGCTAATCTTCTCTGTATCGTTCCAATTTTAGTATATGTGCTGCCGAAGCGAGCACGAACTGCAGGGCGGCCCAGCCGGTATTTATAGTGCCAAGATGACATCACTTTACACAAGGGGTGAACTTTTTGTACACCACGGTCAGCGACCTCTCTCTTCTTCTATACTCCCAAAGCAGGTAGCGTAGCCAGATTGAATCCTTCGCTGAGGTGGGAAAGTGCAGGCCGTGCTACCAACTAGAACTCAGGTGGCTGCCGGGACGCCATGAAGAGTCGTATGCAAATGAGCCGGGAGTGGGGCGGGGCGGGGTGGTCGCCGCCTTCCCAGGAGTCTCTGGGGCGCGGTCGCGCTGCGCGGGCGACTCGTCGGTCGCGGGCAAGATGGCGGCGCCGGGGCCGCGGAGCTAGGGCGGGTGTGGGCCGCGGCCGCCTGCTCGGTGAGCGCGGGGCTGGGGCTCGGGGGGCCGCCCGCGGGGTTGCGGGGCGGCTGGGGGCGTCCGGGGGCCGGCGGGGGCGGGGCATGGCGTCCGCGTCGGGGCTCGGGGGACACGGCGGGGCTGAGCGGACTCGTAGCGCCCCGGGCCCGGGGTCAGGACGTGGCCCGCCTCCGGCGCGGGGGCGCGGGGGGCCGCCGGGGAGCTCGGCGCCTGTGGCTCCGCTGCAGGAGGGGTCCGGGTGCCCCCCTGCGCCCCCCTGGGGACCCCCCTGGGGTGGAGGCCTCCGGGCCCCGCCGCCGGTCCTGCCCCGCCCCCCTCGCTCATCTCTCCGGCCGCGGCGGCCCCTCCCCAAGCAGCTGTGCCGCACGCCGGTGTTGACCCCCGCTGAGGCCTCCCTCGAGCCCCGGGGGCGGGGACTGGGTTCATCTCGGCGCCCCGCAGGCAGCGGGGAACCACGCGATGACCCAGCCCGCCCTCCCGCAGGAGGGACCTGTGGCCTGCGGGCACGCGATGGATCTGGCCTACGTGTGCGAGTGGGAGAGGTGGCCCAAGAGTACCCACTGCCCGTCAGTGCCCCTGGCCTGTGCCTGGTCCTGCCGCAACCTCATCGCCTTCACCACTGACCTGCGGAACGACGACCAGGGTGCGCCTCCTTGCCCCCTGCCCAGCCCCCCTGCCCCAGCGTCCGCGCTGGGGGGACTCTGGGTCTCCAGGCGTGCCTGGGAGCTGCGCCTCACCCATGTGGCCCTCTCAGGGTTTTGTCATGCAAAACCGACGGGTGGCGAGGACCCTGACCTCACAGGCGTGCAAAGGGCAGGTGCACCGCTCCTGCGCCTGGCGTTGGGGCTGGGGCAGGTGGGACCCCGGAATCACCCCTTCGGGTTGGAATGGGGCCTGGGGTGTGTGGTCCACTAGGGCTGAGAGCCCTGAGCCCCAGTTTCCCAGACTGTACGTTTGCATCTTGCTTTTAATATTTTTTTTTTCTCCCTCTTTATTTATTTACGATAGTCACGGGGCGGGGGGGGGGGGGGGGCAGAGACACAGGCAGAGGGAGAAGCAGGCTCCATGCACCGGGAGCCCGACGTGGGACTCGATCCCGGGTCTCCAGGATCGCGCCCGGGCCAAAGGCAGGCGTCAAACCGCTGCGCCACCCAGGGATCCCGCATCTTGCTTTTAGAAGCTTTGAAGTTAAAAAAGTAAAAAGAAAAGAAGGTTTGAAGTTGCTTTGCGGGGCCCTGTTTTCTGTGTGTTGTTTAAGTAACACGTATCTGTTGGAGGAAACTAGGAAAGCGGAGGAACTTAGAATAAGGAAAAAGAGCCGTGGAGAGATGCCCGTTGTTAGCATTTGGGGGCGTTTTCTTGGAGTTTTCTGATTTCTTTTTCTTTCTTCCTTTCCTTTTTTTTTTTTTTTTTTTTTTTAAGATTTTTGTTTGTTTATTCAAGGTGGGTAGCAAGAGAGAGAAGGGGGTGTGGGGGGAGAGAGAGGCAGGTTCCTCGCTGAGCAGGGAGCTCGATGTGGGGCTCCATCCCTGGACCACGGGATCATGATCCGAGCCGAAGGCTGACGCTCAGCCAGCTGAGCCAACCACACGCCTCTCTGTGTTTCTTTTAAAAACACGGTCACACTGGTGGCAAGGTCACAGGCCTGCTGTGGTCTCCAGAGGGAACCCAGGAACACAAAGGCCGTTCCTTGTTGGCAGCAGGGCGCTCTACGTGGTTAGCGGTAGCGCAGCTCCCTGCCGTCCCCGTGGGGTAGATCGTTCGCTGGCATCCTCTCTGAGCCGTCCTGGGGTCCTCAGAAGCTCCAGGGTTGGGGCTTCTGGGGGTTGCCGTGCTGACTGCGCTGTCCTCCGCAGACCTCACCCGCATGATCCACATCCTGGACACGGAACACCCCTGGGATGTGCACTCCGTCAACTCAGAGCACAGCGAGGCTATCACCTGCCTCGAGTGGGACCAGTCAGGTGAGGAGGAGCCTGGGGACAGGTCGTCCTGCATGGCTGAGGGAGACAGTGATGCTCCTCCTTGACCCTGAATCTCAGGGTCACAACACGCTCTGTCTTCCTGGTCACATCCCCCGAGTCCACGTCTGGGACTTGGAGCCTCAGCCTGTGGCTCTGTGGCCGCTGCTCTTCGCATCCAGTGCGCACACTTGTTTCGGGAACGCACCTCGTGCCACTGCCCTGTTGTGCTGCCACCAGGCTGCTTCTCCCGGGCCCCGGACGTGCTACCAGTAGCTGCCCCTGCCCACGGGGAGGGTTTGCAATGCAGGTTTGCCCCCAACAGGCTCCCGGCTCCTGTCGGCTGATGCTGACGGGCAGATCAAGTGCTGGAGCATGGCGGACCACCTGGCCAACAGCTGGGAAAGCCACGTGGGCAGCCTGGTGGAGGGTGACCCCATCGTGGCCCTGTCCTGGCTGCACAACGGCGTGAAGTTGGCACTGCACGTGGAAAAGGTGGGTGTCCCGGCTGAGCAAGCGCATGCAGTCGGTGACGCGTTCACCTGCCTGTCCTCCTGCTCTCTGCCGCCTCCTCTCCCTCCACCTGCATCCTTTGGTTTTCTAGTCCTGGGCCGAACGCCTGCTTGCAGTCAAGCTGTGAGCACCCGTGTCCTCGGTGAGCCGCCGTGCGACGACGGTGGTTCTCAGAGCTCCGCGCGCTGTGGTTCCATAACGTCCCGCAGTGACTCCTTCTGTACCTCCGGGGCGGGTGGGGGAGTTGTCAGGTCACAAAGGGCAGACCCCTGAGGCGGGGCAGGGTGGTGCTCTCAGCTGGGGGGGCTTTGGCAGCAAACGGACCCCTTGCTCCCTCTCCCCCCGCAGTCAGGGGCCTCCAGCTTTGGAGAGAAATTTTCCCGTGTCAAATTCTCACCGTCCCTCACGCTGTTTGGCGGCAAGCCTATGGAGGGCTGGATCGCCGTGACTGTCAGCGGCCTGGTCACCGTGTCCCTGCTCAAGCCCAGCGGGCAGGTGCTCACGTCAACGGAGAGTCTGTGCCGGCTGCGCGGCCGTGTGGCCCTGGCTGACATCGCCTTCACGGGTGGCGGCAACATCGTGGTGGCCACCGCAGACGGCAGCAGCGCCTCCCCGGTGCAGTTCTACAAGGTGTGCGTGAGCGTGGTCAGCGAGAAGTGCCGCATCGACACCGAGATCCTCCCGTCGCTCTTCATGCGCTGCACCACGGACCTCAACCGCAAGGACAAGTTCCCCGCCATCACCCACCTCAAGTTCCTGGCCCGCGACATGTCGGAGCAGGTGC